CCGAACACGAACAGCTCTTTGTTCGCTCGTGTTCGGCTCGTTGTTCGGCTCGAAAAAAAAATTATATAACTTTTTATATAACAATATATTACATATATTATTTAAATAATAATATATTATATATATTTATGTCTAAATTTAAATCATAACACCTCATGTGGCAATGTGGTTAGTGTCTTCTTTTGTATATATTTGATCCAGGTTCGAATCTCACACTTTATATCTATTTTTCTCAATTTTAGTTTAACGAGCCAATTTCGAGCCGAACACGAGCCGAACACGAACACGAATATTTAAATCGAGCCGAACACGAACACACTGTTCACGAGCCGATTTCGAACACGAGCCGATTTCGAACACGAACTATTTCGAACGAGCCGAACATGAGCCAAGCCTGAGCTCGCTCAAGCTCGGCTCGTTTACAGCCCTAATTTTGACGACCCCTGCTGACGATAGGCAAGTTGCCCATTTGAGAAATAGTGATTCACCCTCTGCCCTCATTGCTCAGTGAGCTTTGAAGCATAGAGATGTTCCTATCAAGTCAATCTTGTTATTCTTCCGGGGCTCGCTTATTGGCAGACCGCCACCCATCTGTGGATTTGAGAGACTCGCCATCTCCCATTTGGTTCGGTATAAGCTCCTCTGGCAATGAGATGCGCTTGGTTGAATAATCATCCTTTGATGGCCTATTCTTCAGGTTCATGATAATATAAACGAAACTCCTTTTATTGAGAGTTTTTTTTTTATATTCCTCAAGATGTAATTAATCAAAGAGATATGTTCTTCTGGGAGACTCGTAACCTCAAAACAAAAATGCTCTTTTTGGTTCCCTAATTACAGATGGTTGTATAGTGATTCTCTTCGTGGATGTTGTGTTTTGAGATACTTCAATTGGATCTTGTTCTGACGTATATTCTAGACCGATTACATAAGGATTACTCATATATATGCATTCATCTTGTTTCTTTGTAATTGTTTGTCTGTCTATTATCGTATTTCCTTTCTATTTGAGTCATATCCTATTCAAATCATTTACAATGATCCGTGAGAGAGATTTATTTGAATAAATAATATGATGACATATATATAGAAAAGCTGACAACTCCGAGTTTCTAAAAAGATTCCAGAAAAACACTTGCATACAAAGTAAAAGACAAATATTATGTGTCGTGACAACTGCATGTCCCAACGACAGTCCGGATGGCCATCATGCGATACACGTGAGCATGACCGCATTCGTACCATCATCCAGATGTGTGGTCGGATTGATAATAATACTTCAATAAAAATTAAAAAAAAAAATTGATTAGTACTTCGAAGTCCCTTCTGTAAGGCTTTATCAGCATAAGACATACTGAATCTCAGCTTAAATCGGTGTCACAACAACTTATCAGCAGCTCAGAAACCATTCTTCGAGCGAAAGGAATATAACTTAAACTGTACCTCAAATAACATTAGAAGGAAAATTTTCAGATCAATAGGAAAAATAAAATTGGCATTTACATATATTTACTTGTCTGAAACCTAAATTTTAATCTTTACATTCCATACAATAAAATTTTTAACATCACATCAAAATATTACTTTACTGACCTTTTGCACCTTTTTTATGCATAAGTTTATAGCACCTAGGTGTATAAATGTAAATGTCCCAAAAGAAAAAGTGCATAGGAACCTCTCCGAAGTGACAGAGGTATTAATAAGCTTAAGACAGGCTTACCAGTTTGGTTTTCTGCAACTGGTAATAACTATACTGATTATGGCTGAGAGAAGATAAATGTTAAAAAGAACATCTTAAAAGTTCCATTATAATTTTGATGTTAACAGGCAGAACTATCATCCACTAAGATTAGGGCTGTCAAAATGGCTCGTTGTTCGCGAACAGCTCGTTGTTCGCGAACAGCTCGTGTTAGGCTCGTTAAGAAGCTCGTGTTCGGCTCGTTTGGTAAGTTACCGAGCCGAACACGAACAACACGAACAAATATTTGTTCGTTCATGTTCGGCTCGTTTTGGCTCGAAATACTACAAAACAATTATATATATGAATTATTTTATGGCCAAATTTGCATTTTTTTTGTTTATATATATATATATATATATATTTTTATGAATAGTATTTTTTAAAAAAGTAATTGGCTAAAAGGCTACAATGATTTATAATCAATTAAAATTATTAATTAAGAAAATAGAATAAAAATTATTAAATTAGATTCAAATGATGATTCAAATCTTGTCTCATTCCTTAACCTATGTGATTAGGGTTGTCAAAATGACTCTTTGTTCGTGAACAACTTGTGTTCGCCTCGTTAAGCAACGAGCCGAACACGAATACACTTTTTAAGCTCGAAATATAAACGAACCGAACTGTCGTTTACACCCCTAATTAAGATATTGTCCACTTTGATCTAATGCCCTCACTATTTTATTCCATTATAATTTCCCAGAATGTCACCCATCCTAGAAGTGCTTCCGCACGAGGACTATTAACTTTCATTCCAATCATTACTAAAAGGACATATACCCCGTGTGACAGAAGATCAGCCATGGATCTTACCTCCACTGTTGCTATGCGCTAGATTTGTATCTCTTGGCTGCTCTACATTTTCCCCAAGCTTCTAGGGATTTCTCTGTTAAAAGAGATTTATATTAGAGACTATGTTAAGGGTAAAATGTCATATATACCCTTCAATGTATTTACTAGTTTGCCATGCTATTTGTTCATAAATAAAGGCAGATGTCTGAATGTAATAAGTGGGATTCATATAGCGCAATAGATTACTTAGCTTTCTTCAAGCTTAGTCTCCGAGTTCTTTCTCTTCCTCTTTCTACCACATCTTCTCTTTGTTTGTTCAACTATTACACCAATAGAGCCTCGATGCTTAAATGTTCAGCTTCATTCTACTTCAGGGATTTTATATCTCTCCCACTTAAATAGCTGACATTCTCGTCAATTTTCATATACCCGGAATCATATACCGAGCTGATATTTCTATCTTTAGACAGGCGTAATGCTCTAATACCATTTTTAAAGCTTAAGAGGAATAACAATGGAAGCCCAATTTTGTTATCTATATAATTATATGGGCAAAAAGATCTCCTGAACTAGCAATAATAATGCACAAAGATCTATAAAGGGCGGAGGTTTAGAATTAATTAAATTTTCTATTTATTAATGATAAATAGGGATGAATAATGTAGTGAATGAGAGTCCTGTTAATGTGGTATGGATGTATGCAGCCTTATGTTAAAGTCGAGGAGCTTAAAATTTGTCCTACGATAAAAACAAATTACACAAACTTGAGTGTGGGTATCCAATACATGTGGTTTCTCGTGTATACTAGCATCAAAGGAAAAAAGATTGTAGTTCTCCACATCAAAATATAATGAAATGGTAGTAGCAGCTGAACATAATCATCTGTTAGAAGAACCTATATAAAAGTCTATATTTTTTTTTTCATTAGTTATCATTTCTATTTTATGTTAGTTTCTGCTCTTGGCAATTAAATTTTTTACCTACTAAGAAAACACCCCACATCTCTAATGCGGAGAGTTTGTTTTGATGTCTTCTTAAGCATGTGACCAACTCATTAAAATCCAGATTCGCCATTTTTCTTCTTCAAAATGCTTCATTCTCTGATATAAGACAAAAAAAAAAGGAAATTTCTTATATATTTACACAGTCATACCTAAACTTTCATATTTACATACATAGCACTTTGATGCTTTAAACATATGCATGAAAAGGTGTATTCCACTTTCAAAAAGTGATAATAGTACTATTTTTATGTGATACTAACGATTTGAATGATGTGCGTAAATATGAAAGTTTAGGCATGAGATATGTAAATACATTACAATTGTGTGTTATGTATGTAAATGCCCCTTAAAAAATCACAATCGTATGTATGAATCTTGATGGATTTAAATATTAGAGGGATTTTAACATGTACATGACCGGCAAAATTGGTATAAATGTAGTAAAGAACTGCTTCGTTAGGATTGCTAAAGAGTTGGGTGGGAGTAAATAAAATGAAGCTCAGCTGAAACTACTATTTCCATCAATTCTATGAACATGGGTTATAGAAGCATTTGAATTGCTGACCGTTATGCTACAGTGGATTTAGAACTTGGGAGAATATTGTGAAAAAAATTCAACAAAACAGAAATTATTATAAAGAGAAAAAAGAAAAAAGCTTACCATATTAAAGCACAAATCTCAATGACCATTACAATTAGCGTTAAGACCTTGTTGTGTATCTGCACACGTAAAAGAAGGACATTGTTATATTATCATTAAGCTGAAAATTAGGCTTTCATGATGACGAAATTCAACAGATTTTTGGATTTATTTGTCTGAAAATATACCCATAGCGCACAAACAAGCGCAAGAATAACAGAGATAATGTAAACAGAAGTTGCATAGATGCGGACTGGATCAAGCATCATTCTCGTTTGTTGAACTGGACCTATAAGGAAGGCTGTGCTGCCAAACATTCCAAGTTCATAGTTCAGTAAAAAGTATAGAGAAGAAAAGCTTAGAAAAAAAAAATCCAACTTCAAAAGTGATGGAAAACGAATGTTAAGAAGCTTTTTAACCGAAAAATGGGAGTTTAGCCGTTTGGGATTTATTTTGATTTTTATTTTATTTTTATTTTTATTTTATTTTGTTTATGTTTTGATTTAAAACAACATATATTTGGTACGATATAATATTTTTAAAAAATACTCAAAATAACTTTTTAATGTTTTGAGTATTTTTAAAAATAAGTTAATCTATTTTTAAACAAAAAATATTCTAAACAAACATATTTTTAAAATAAAACCAAAAAAAACTAAAATAAAAATGAGGGGTCAATTTTATTTTTTGTTTTTTTATCTTTTATTTTAAAAAATATGTTAGTTCAGAATGTTTTTTACATATTTTTATTTTTTTATTTCTAAAAAGAAATTAACATGTTTTTAAAACTCTCGAAAAATAACTTTATATTGTTTTGAGTGTTTTTAAAAAGTCATATATCTTAATCAGATACACTAAACATATTTTATTTCATATCAAAACATAAATCAAACAAAATAAAAATTAAAAAAAACAAAAAAACAAAAAAAAAAGTGATCTCAAACGGCCCTAGATAACTTTTGCATGGAGTGATATGAAGCATAGTTGCTCCATATCTAGTTGGTTCTCAAAGCAGAACAAATTGTAAACCCACCTTCCTATTGCTAGTAGGTTCCCAAAACTGAACATAACTGCAAACTTTATGGGTCTGGCAAAAACAATAAGTGACTGAAAAAAAAGGGAGCAATGAGCTTGTTAGCAACATAAGTATGAAGCAATAAACTAATACAAAACCAAAATGAATGAAGAAAAGCAATTATCAGAACTCCAAAATATTATACGAATTGGGTGGTATGTAGGTAAATGCATAGGAATTGGGTGGCATGTATCTAACTGCCCCACTAAATAAATAGATAAAGGGTAACCAAACTAAATTTCCTATCCGTTAACCAAAAATACTACCTGTAAATTTTTTGTTTAGCAGCTATCAGAATCTACCAAGATGATGTAAGATTTTCTCCACTCCACCTACTCTCAATAGAGTAATATCTCTTATATCTACATTCTCTATTCTAAGATATTTAGCCTTCAGAAAAAAGGAATGCAAACTCAGACAAAATGGGACAAATTATTCCAATGCCGCCCATCACTATTGATTTGATTTGACTGTTAACATTACCAAAATGAAGAGTCTCTTTTTGTAAACCTTGCGTGTGCGGCGTACGCGTGTGGTACTTTTGTCTAGAAAGGTTTTTTGAAGGCACCTAAGGCTGATTTTAAAGATTAGAAAACGTTGACAAATGAAATTTTTGTTAAAATAATCTAGCTCTATTTAGCAAATAAAGTTTTGAAAAATGGTATCGAGAAATTCACAGCAATAGATTATGGCTCCGTCTGGAGTTATAATTCAGAACTAAAAATCCCAAAACACACTTTATTTGAAGAAAACGCTGCATTTCTTTACATGCAAGAAAATATGTTAATCAAGTCACATATAAATGAATATAGTTCAACAATTCGTGTATTGAAAAATATTGATGTGATTGTTTAAATGAGAATATAACCTTTTAAGTTTTTTATCTCCTTTTTACGAGCACTTTCGTGACAACATTTTCTAATGGAAACATTATAAGAGCAGAAAACATAAAGAGCCCTGTTTTATCAAAAAATATGATTTTTAAACTCAAGTGTGCTGACCAAGAAAAGGAAAGGGATTGTTCGTTGGGAAAGAGCAAGGAAAGAAGGGTCCATGTTTAAAGAGTATGTAGGTAAGAACAAGATTTATTTTTTAGCATATTGATGACAGAAAGCAACAAAAAAGTGAACCAACAACAACACTAGACGCAAAAATGGTTGATAGAGATTATTAAAATGTCACTTATGCGGTTACAAGATACGTGCATAATAATCATTGGACATATTCTTTCTATATTTTTCATGATAAATACTTATATTCTAATCATAATTACATAAAAAAATAATGGCACGCATGAGACTGAGTGGCTTGTTATTGTTTGTATTACACAACCCATGATGGTGTATCTAAGATTTTAAACGAGGTAAGAATATTGAGATTCTCAAAGTTGCATGTTATTTGGTTATCATAAGAGCCAGAAGAGTGAACAGAAGGGGATGCTTCAACTATTCTGCATCTGCATTTTGCATTTTAGAGAAGCAAAGGAGATTTACCTTTCAAATTGTAAAAATTGTTCAGAAAAGGGTCAAGCACAGAATGATGGACAATTTTTAGATGAATAAATGAATCAAGTTATGTTGCATAGCCTATCCTAATAATGGTTCATGCCTTAATTTGCATTAGTCAAGAGAAGATGCCCATTACAAAGCTATAAAAGTTCAATAACAAGTGCATGTTAGGTTTAATTTCAACAATTCCGATGTAATATTTGTGCAACAAAGATCTCTTATAGTTATTCACATGGCACAATCTTAACTTAATGAGATTGCACGAAATCGAGCCCTTAAGGCTTTAGGAACTCATACTAAGATGAATCGAAAAGAATATTCAATTATACCGTGATATCAAGGGCAGAACCAGCCTCTTTTTTGAGAGGAGGGAGGATGGCAAACTGTCTTCCTAGACCTAAAGTGGGAGAAGCTACGGCAACAAAGGACAAAATGATATTTCATGAGGGGCAAAAAACCAAATTTCCAGCTCATACAAATAAAAATCTGAATTTGAGGGGGCCCTGCATGATATTACAAAAAGGGAGTGTACTTATATATTGACTATGGTAAAAAAGGAACATGCCTTTTATTATATTGTGCATATATAAAAGCGAGATTCAAGGATTCATATTGAAATTTGGGTTGGCCATTCTATAGTTTTTAAAATTTGCACTTTCTCCCTCGATTTTGTATGGGTCTCCTTCACATGATTCTAGTTTCCTTGGTTGGCATGCAAAAGAGGCCACATGATGTGTTGTTTGATAAAGGTTTTAGTAGCTGCAATCTAAGAAGATCTCCTTTTTCCTCACATACCTCTTGAATCCAGAGCTTCATGAAGGATGGGTGACTTCAGCAGTGTATGCGAGATCAAAAGTCTTTCTTATGAGATAATTTCTTTAGTAAGATTCTAAGGCTTATATTTTTCATCTCTTTTTGAGTATTAGTGGTACTTAGAAATTAAGGAAGGCTGATGATTGCTCTTATTTTATATACCAAAATTGTAGCATTTCTGTGTCTAGTAGCTTGGATCATCTATCCTCCCCTATGAACGCAGGCTTGATTGAAGCCAAGCAACGTAAATATTGGTGTGGCTTTGTTCGTATTTGTTTGATCTCTTTTCTGTTGATTTGTTGCTCTTGGCACTAAAAAGTAAGGAAGAAAGGTTGTTTGGGGGGGTAGAACGTAAGAAGCTGTCGGCAGCCGGAATTGAAATCTCATCGCCCGCTTCGGAAGGACGTTTTAATTTACGTATATATAT